GACCACCTTCACAGGCACAATACAATCCCAGACTAATCTTTCTCAAATCAACATTGTTCAGCTCACATGGGAGTGCATTTTCTCCTTCCAGATTTGAAAAATAATAGAGAAGATTGGAGTCAAATAAAAAAACATCTGAATTCTTGTATTGGCATTTGTAAGGAAATACTCCAACAGCTGGAGTAGTGTGGACAAACTTACACTGAGGGCCTCTTCAACATTAAATGTTGGCTCCAGAAATACCAGCAGCACAGAAAACATTCTCTGCAAGTCTCTGACTTGTGTTTATTGTTCTGCATGCCTGACAGTTTAAAGAGGCATGGGGCATGCATTTTGTGTAGAGAACAGGGACAAGAGAATGAGAGAAAAATAAGGTGTCTATTAGTGAGAAGAAAATTTTTTCTTTTTTAATCCAGGACTCAAAGTATACCTACCAAAGATGTGAACCCATTAGCATTTTTCATGGACCCATTCCAGTAATCCCAAAGGACACAGGCTGTGTCCATCTGCACTTATAGTATTACCTTAGCACTGAAAGAAGAAAAAGTTTTTTCAAATATAGACCAAATCTTTGGCTGCCACCTGGTTCACCAGCTGAAATCCCTTCTTTCTGTCTGGACTATGAGGCATTGGTCATCAGTTTGTTCATCTTCATCCCAAATGTTATATTCCTCTGGCTGCACCTCTTTGTTATTCAGCTTCAGCCAGCAGCAGGGTGCTAGCTATGTCTCATTTATTTCCCAGAAAACCAGCTCTTCTTCTAAGACTGACCTACAGGTATCAATGGGGCAGTGGAAATGTTTGGTCCTATAACAGTTCAACACAGAGCTGAATATCTCAGCGCTCCTGTCAAAAAAGAACTCTTTGGCAGTGGGATCATAGTCGTAGATTCTTGGGGCATGAGGCTCTGTTAGACTGCACAGCTTGGTCCCTGGGAAGGTCCGAAGAATGCTGACTCCTCCAATAATCAGGATGATTTTTTCCTTGGAGTCTTCCATCTGTGAGGGAGGAAGAAGAAGCAGTCCTCATAGGCTCTTGTTTATCTTCAGTTGAAAAGAGAAGAACACAAAAGAAGTAAAGTAAAGCAAGTTCTGAAGCAGTAAGGATTTCCAGGGTACCTCACTGCAGTGCTTTTAATCACATTTTGTACCTGAAACCTGCATCTCCTACAGGGAGGAAGGCCCTTCTGCCCTTCCCCATCATGTTCAGTGCCTGTTCCTAGACTTTGCTCTGTGGATGCATTGTCTGAACACTTCTCAGGATATGCATCAAACAAAATGACAAACATCTGTTTTGCATTGTTCTCCCTCTCAGCTTCTTCCCATGGGGACAGAGCACACAGTCCAAACTCTGTTTCACCACATTTGTTCATATACTGTAGATAATCACTGCAATCAACTCATTTGAGGTAAAGTTTCAGTCTCAATGCAATTCTTCCACTATCCCTTTCCATGTCTAGTTCTTCCATCTCCACATCCAATTTCTTTCTCCACAAGCATTTTCTTACAGTGACCTTCATGTGCCAAAGATGTACAAGTCATCAACAGCTTATTCTCCACTCAGGTCTTAAAACATAATCTCTTGTGTTGAGCCTGGCATAACAAGTTTCACAACAGACCCTGCTGCTTGGTGGGAACATTGAGATTGCCTGAACTATGCTTTTTCCTTCAGTCTTCCCTGTAGAGAGTCCCACTGAGCCAAAACATCTTTCCCTCTGCAGAAAATTGCTCTGGAAAGTTATCTGGAAACTATATGCAGGATTCCTGGAGTAGCTAGAAATGCAGAATAAGATACTGCCTCCTCCTGACATCTCAGAATAGCCCTAGATTCTGCTGCCAAGGCCTCTGGCATTGGAAAACATGTTCAGCTGCTTATTTCCTGTAATACATCCCCTTTTGCTGTTCAAAATTTAATGTGCCTGGAAGAAAAACTCAAGACCTGCTTTATGAACATTATTCTAAGAAGGTAGGGAAAACAAGGACCTATGTGTTCCTTAGGAACACCCAGGAGAGGTGCAGAATAGGGGCAGGATGTTATTGAGAAAGTAACTAAGGCCGTCTTTTACCCACATGTATTCACTTCTGACTTTCTTAACTCCTCCATTTCCTCTCTTCCATTTCTACGCATTCCTATCCAACCTTCTCTAATGCCCTGCATAACTGAAAGTCCAGTTGTCCCTCCTCTTTTTTTTGCAGAAAATGCTGAACATGGCAGTCACAGGTCACTTCTGCAACAAACCTTGTAAAGAACTATGTATAGCACTTCATTCAGCCTTATGAATGAATGGAATGCTAGAAGCTGCAGCTTGGTCACACGCTCACGGCAGAAGAGAATTACCGCCCATCTGCTGTCCTTCCCAATCCCAACATACGTGAGTCTTGATGCACCTTCACCCTCAAGCTTCCACTAACTTCAACTAGAGCAGGATTCAGCATAAGGACTAAAAGTGTGCTGGTATTGTTTAGTACTTGCTGCATAGGAATCCACACAGCATGATTCTAAGCAGGTTAAATTAATCCATCACTCAGCAGATCCGGAGTTATATTATTGGACTCTGTTGCCTAGCTCTCTAAAGAGCACAGTGATTTTTGAGATCCCAGCTAAACTTGCCTTCATCTGCTCAGAATGCCAGATATCTCTTGCTTAAACATAACAATCCTTATGTGAGAACTGAGCTGAAAAGTGCCATTTCATAATCTTACCTTGGTGCTCTTGCAGCAACTCTGCAAACAGAAGAAAGGAGAAGAGACTGGGAAAAACAGAGACAAATTCAGTGAAAACAGCATGTTCAATGGCTAGTTGCCAAAGCTCAAGTCTCATAGATACCAGAAAACAAAATCAGCCACCAACGCTGAAAAGATGCAGAGGCCCCTCTCCTTTGTTCTCTGCCCTATCAGCAGTCGCTCTGCCTGCTCCAGGGAACAGTAGTCAAGGAAGAAAGCAACAACTGCCAGGCCAGATACACTCCAACTGCTCTGACACCCACTGCTCTACCAACAATCTCAAAGAACCGTGGTGTTTGGAAAATAGGTGGAGCTCAAATGTCATAGGACCAATAAAGATTAAACTATCAAGCCACAGAAAGGCAAACAGAGCATTTTTCTTCCTTGGCTGTGGCTTATTTGAATAAAAAAATAATACTGAAAACAAAGGAGCAAACAAACAAAACCACCTGACCTCCCATCTTCTTGTCACACTCTCTTCTTTTTTGGTTTCAAAGAGTTTTTCCTTATTTCTGGATGACCCAAAGCTTAATCTTTTCTACCCACTGATTTTAAATGCATTTTTTGACATTGATTACTTCAGGAAGAAGGCTGGCACATTGTTGTTAATCCTCGTCAAGAAGGGAATGCTGCTATTTCCTTTCAGCTGACATTCCAAGACCTTTTCTAGGTATCACCTGTGCTTACTTCAGACTCTCCAGAAAGCAACTAGAAAAAGGATGTTCTTTACTCCCAGCAACTGATTTCTAAAACCCAGAAATAATCTGGCAAGCAAAATGACACATGGTGTTCCTATGCTCTGAATAAGACTCTTTGATTGCAATAAACAGCTTGTCCTCTCAGAGCATTTTTTAAGCAGATGAAAAGTGCAACTCCATTTCCATTTCCAGTGCCCTATTCCAAGCTTTTTCCCTGCCTCCCATCTTCTGAGAATTCATTTTCACTGCATGAGGCACTGCGGGGCTTTGGCAACGAATGTCAAATCTGCTCCCTCAACCTTAATACTTTGAATAATGAACTCGTTTCAATTTGGCCTACTTTTATTAACACCAAAGAACAAGGTAGACTTTTCAAGATCAGGTGATTGAAGCTACAATGAATTGAGGCATTTTTCAAAGATGATATTTTAACAGAACTCATTCAGCATTTCTTTCCTATAATCTGTGGTATTTAATAAAATAAATATTTTGTACAAGGCAGAAGTTCTGTGGTTTTTTCCCTGTTCACTCATATTCAGATGCACCGGTCTCAACTAAGCACTCAGGAATACTCAGGTAGTCTGAATTGGAGGGGTGGTGTTTTCATTAACTACATTTGTGCTAGAATATAAGAGAAGTTTTAGCTTTCCAGTATAAGCATTTCTTTAGAGGTTGTTCATAAAATATTTGTGAGGATGATTAACAGATTCCTGCTTCGGAATACTGAACAAAAAAAGCTTAAGCTATTGTAAAGTCCTGACAGTTTTAGGGAAAGACCAAGCTACCCTTTCGGTGCTGGAGATAGGACCAGAACCTGCAGGCTTAGCTTTTCTACTCTCAAAACCAGTGCACGGAGCTTCTGTGGAATCTCACCTCCAGACCTTTTTTTCCCATCCCATGTTTCAGCTCTACCTCTCCCCTGACGTCTAACACAAGTGTACTCCTCAGATTACGCAAACAGATCAGTGAAAAGTTTTTTATAAAAATCTTTCAAAAGTAAGGTGATTTATTACCTGGATTACTGCAAAAACGTGTAAAATGTTGCAAGCGGAGAGCAGTTAAATGTTCTGCAAGTGCAGATCCGCCCAGCGCAGGCTGGCAGGGCCGTGGCAGTGGCAGTAGCTGTGACCTGGGCAGGGGAGCTGCCTCCTCCCCGTGCCCGGCAGCCCCGAGGGCGGAAGGGTCCTGCAGACACGGCGTGAAGCCCTGCACTGCCCGCCTCTGACTTCGCCTCCCGCCGCAGGGACCCTGTTCCACAGCCCCCCAGGGCCTGCATCCGGCCGCGCTTCCTCGCACGGCTCCACTCGCCCTGATCTCGGACACTCTTCGCCGTCCCTCAGTTCCCCGCAGCTGCACGAGAGGCCAATGCGCCTGTTCCGCGCCCCTTGGGCCGCGGCGGGTCCACGGACGAGCCCCCACTGCGCTCGGGAAGCGCGGGCAGCCCCGGGAGCGGGAGGCGGGAGCGGCGCAGGGAGCAGGCGGGGCGGGAGGCGGGAGCGGCGCAGGCGCGGGGAGCGGCTCGTCGGGCCTCGGGTCGGGCCTCAGGTCGGGCCGCACGTCGGGCCTCAGGTCGGGCCTCATGTCGGGCCGCGCGGGGCCGGGCTGGCGCCGCGGGCGGCTGGGCTCGGCCCCGGCCCCGGCCCCCGGCCGCAGGCGGCTGAAGCCGCTGCGCACGGTGGTGGCGTGGAGGGGCCGGGCGGAGTGGGACCAGGTGATGGTGGGGCTGTACTGCGGAGACAGCCGGCTGCAGCAGGACGCGCTGGACCGGGTGTCGGCCTGGAAGAGCCGGTACGGGCCGCGCGGCGCGGGCGGGAAGCGCGATGCGGACCTCGGGGTTCCAAGCTCTGTCCCCGGAGCGGCTCCTTTGACCTTTCTGTCCCAGGCTCTCGCGGTCCTGGGCCCAGAGGACGCCGGGTACGCGGGCGCAGCTCCCCCAGGGGCAGCTCCGCGGCCGCGGCAGTGTGTGCAGACCGGGCAGGCGGCCCCATCTTGCAGGGCATCTTCGTTGTGGGAGGCTCCGGGCACGTAGCTCCTGTCAGGCGCACAGTGATCCCGTGGAGAGCAGGGGACGCAGAAGACCTACGTGCCTGCAGCTTCACGGGCTGGTTTCTCGAGGCAGTGAGCATACAAGGCCTCCAAATCTTATTCTGTGTTGCCTCTGTCGCATCCATACGGAAGACCTGCCTAGATAAGGCATCTTCTGTGTGTGCGTAGCATATCAGTAAGTCCTCATTTAACATGTGCTTAGGAGTAGCCATGTAATCACTGTTCCAGATAGAAGCCCTCTGGAAAGAGTCTTTGATGCTGTCTCTACATACTGTTTCTCAGGCTGTTATGTACCACAGAGCACAAAAACTACCTGGAAAGCTGCCTTTTTTGCAGGGTGACTGTATTTGTGTGACTGCTCACCCGGTTTTCCTTTATCTCCAGTTATGGTCAAAAAATGCCTCTTGCAGTGGATTGCACTGCAGAACTGATTCGTTGCAAGGTCCTGGATTCATCTGGCAGATTGAAGTCACACGAGCTCATCCTCTCTTATGGGCTGGCTCTTGTAAGGTAAGGGCTCTGAAGGCCTGTGTGCTTTGTGACAAAGTCCTGGGCAGATGTCCCTATTCAGCTAAGTTCACTGTGCATTTCTGGGACCACAACATGTGGGGAATTTGTCTCTGGGGTTCCAAGTTTCTCTGCAGCTTTTGATAGTAATTTTCTTTTCTGTAACGTTCATGCAGGTTTGTCAACTTGATCACAGAAAGGAAACAGAAGATGGCCAGCATTCCTCTGAGACAATTAGCCAGAGAGGTAAATATTTAATAAGAGTTGCTTGATAATTTATGTCTACCCAGAAAGCATATGCATTGTCTATTAACAACACTGGGTGGAGGGAGTTGTGGGATATCATTCTTTTGTAACCAAACTAATGGATATAGGTGCCAGTTCTTTCCAACTGCAAAGGTTTAAGAGGCTTGCTGCAACTGTATCTAAATTTTTGTTCTTTAAAGTCAGATTAAGACTAAAAAAAACTGATGATCATTTTTGAATCACATGTGGTCAAAGCCTTGATTTACATGCGTATAGTCCCACTTGACATACTGCCCTATATTTTCCTTTCTTAGCTACTGAGATCCAGGAAAAGAGCTAAATCTGTAGTTTATAAATTCTAGTCTTTGACAAGCAAGGCTATACATAAAAAGAACTTAATCACATTTACAGGCATTTTCATCTCGTCTCTCTGGCTTCAGGTGAGCTTGTCCACTTCTGTGTCAAGGAGGGAAGGTTCAAGCTGCAATTGTAATAGCAGGACCAACTTAAGTAGTTTTATTGCCAGCTGCACCATATCTGGGGCTGAACAAGTTTTGATAGTGAAGGACAGACATCGTTTGAGCTCTTCTATATATGCAGCATTGTCTGGGCCCCTGTGTGAGAATGATGATTTGATTTCTGGGTTTTTTTCACAGATTTTTAAGAAAGATTCTACTTCTCACCTTTTAAAACTGAGAAAGCTTAAAAACAGAGGTCTTGCATAGTTAAAGGTAGTTGTCCTTAGGAAAGTTGCCAAAAATTGTGTACAACTTAGTATGTGGATTTCATTATTACGTATGATATGATTTGTATCTTTGGTATACAGTTATCCAGAATGTCTCATCTATTTAAATATAATTTAACTGCTTCTCAGTATCTTATTAAATTACACGCAGCACCTCTGTCTAAAAAGAAATCTGTTGTTGCAAGTAATACCAAAGAACTTAAAATCCCAAGGCCACAGGAGGAGTGGGATCAGGGAGTTGGGGGATCTTGGCCACCCTTGAAGTGGGAAGCTGGGTAACTACAGTGCAAGTGCCCTAGGTATAGGCTCAGCTTTGCAGGGCTGCAGGCAGCTGTGGCATGAGGCAGTGAAAATGTGGGGTGACATCTGCTGGCTGTTCTTCCAGGTGGATATCCCCATCTGGGTTGTGGACCTGCGTCACGAGCTGACCCACGGGAAGCTGCCGCGGCTGGCCCTGTGCCGCAAGGGTGAGTGCTGCCAGGGGGTGGCACTGGCAGGGGTGGAAACACCAGTGCCATAGGCCCTAAGAGGAGCATCCCTCCCTCCAGTGGGGGGGTGCAGGACATGCTGCAGGGCATGCAGGGCTTGTCAGACGCGGGGAGGGTTTGCCACTGCCCTGTGGGGGTAAGCTGAACTGTGTCTGGTGGCTCCAGGCTGTGGTGCATCACAGGGAAGATGTTCAGAGGCTGCCCCCCATCCCCGAAAAAATACTGGAAAAAACAGTTTGGTACTCTGGCTTTTTTACAGCACAGGAAGTTCATCTTGGGGAAATAGGTAAAACCTTTTCCTGATGGTTTAGAGGTAACCTAAGACTCTTTAAAAAATCCCATTTAGGGAGAAAAGCAGTATGTACTGCAAGCCTGAATGAATGACCAGCTCCTGGCATTTGAAGGGATTCTTGGGAATTTTGGGTTAAGCACTGATGAGCCAGTTAAATAACCTTCATCAAGGTCCTTAGATTGAGGTGGATACAGAAACTGTAACGGAAGTAAAGGCATTTTCTTGCTATCTAATGTATGCCTAGTGTGCTCTCTGCACAAAAAAAATTTATGTTATTATTGTAGACACTATGTTGACCATGGTGATACTGAAGTACTGGCTCATTTTCTCATTAGAATGCCACTGCTGGGACTTAGTTTCTGCTTAAATTTGACGTAGCTTGAGCCAGGTGCAGCACTATAGTAGTGTCCAGCCTTTTTTGTTGCCAAAAAGAAAGTGGATGGATGTTACCAGGCTTGTGATACTGGATTGTGGGGGATTTTTGTGGTTCCTTTTTTGGGGGAAGGAGGTTGGTTTTGTGTTGGGGTTTTTTTGGGGGGTTTTTTTTTGGTTGGTTTGGTTTTTTTTAATTTGCTCACCTTTTCATTAATGGAGTTCTGTGTGTTTTCTGGATTCGTAACTGTTTAATAGCATTTCTTTTCATAATACAAGTTAGTAATGTGCCACCTATATTATTTTTTTTCAGTAACGAGTCCTCACTGAGAAGGCAGTGTTTTCTGTTCTCCTTTAGGTTGTGATGTTGTGCTGGACTGGCTACGAAAGACATATTGGAGCCGTCAGCTGGGCAATAACTTGTGTGAAGAAAGTGAGGATGAGGATGAGGAAGAGGAGGAAGCAAACACAGAGTTGGGCAATGATGCATGGGAGATTCAAACCCCGCAGCATGAGGCCTGTCAGAAACACAAAGAATTCCACGGTAGATGTCCCTATAACAATGGCAGATGAAAGGATTAGATGTGCTAGTTTAAACTTGTCATCTTCTAGCATAAACATATAGCTTCAGCTCAGGTTTTAGGATTCCTCTGCACCTTGGTGGATTCTTGAGGTTGACTGACTGGTTTGGTATTAGCTCACCAAATTTGTAGCATAAAATCCTTTACTTCTATTGAAAATGCAGTATCATAATCAGTAGCAACTGCTATACTGGGATGAAAGCATTGTAAAAATTAGTTGTAGCGTCTTGATAGGCACAGTTTTGGTCTTGAGGCCACTACTGACAAAGAATGCTATAGTCCTTTTATGGCTCTCAAAACTTTATAGATTCTAACTTGAGAAAGAGCAAGATAGAAGCGATTTAGCCAGTTTCAAAATATTTTGCATGTGGACAGAAAAATCATTAACTGCTGATAGTATTAAAAAAAAAAATCACAGGTAACTCAGCCTGGGCATAATCTGAGATACTATGTGCAGAACAATGGGAAATCTTTGGTAAACTGTTCCAATGGTTCCTTTTTCATCACTAGAAGTCTTTGAACCCAAAATAAAGGACTTTTCTCAAAGTGGATTTCTAGTTTGAATGACTAAGTGGAGGAAGTGAGAGTTCAACTTAGATGTCTGATCTGCAAGTTTTAGGCATGTGAAGTATCAAACAGTACATCAAACAGTAAAACAAATTAGTCATAATTTTTTTCTAACAAAACATGGCAGGCTTATGGGGTGTAACTTGCCCAACCCATTACAGCAGCCCAGTCCAAGGCTCAGAGAGTGCAAAAATGCTGAAGTGATGCTTAGTGCTCCCTAGAAGGTCACACTAAGTGACTAAAGAATTCAGGCTTTAGGACCTACGGATTTGTTTCAAGTCTTTTCTAGATTCCTCCCTTACAGACTCTATATACATAGAGTTGCCGTGATCCAGAAAATTTTAGCTAATTTTTGAGTTTAAGACAGCATTTTTTAGAACAATCCAAACCTAGAGGCAGTACTAAACTTTGGAATAGAGCAGCTCTTAACGTTTTTCTTGTTAAAGTGTGTTTCTGGTCTTCTGTGTTCATGTTGAATGAGATCCAAGCATGAGCTGTTCCTTCTTCTCCCTGGCTACCCTAAACAAAAAAAACATACCACCCCCAGTTGACAAAAGAGAGAATCACAGGATGATATAGTAGATTCTGTGATTTGTATGTCCAGAGTAACGGAATGGGAATGGTATATCAGTCCTACAATTCAGATGCATTTGAAGTTTTATATGGCTGATACTGTGTGATGGACACCCTCTTAGCAGGCAACAGTGACAGCTGAATGGTGAAATATTTTGGAAGATGTTGCTATTTCGGGTATAGTAAAAGTGGTCCACAGATAAAAGACATTTCATGCAGGTGGTAAATGAAAGTTCAGTAAAGTCCAATAAGGACGCGGTTAGTTTGTAAATAGCCGTAGTGCCATTGCAATAGATGCAAAATCCAAGTATAAGAAATACAAATATGCATCAGAACATAAACTGCGTATAGGAACAATTTCTTCCTAAACTGATCTATTTAAGGATTTTTTGAGCTGTCTGCATTTATCCAACTTGCCTGTCTTTGACCACTGTTAGTGATAAAATATGGAATTCGTGGTTCAACCCCACCTGAGAAAATTTATGTTGCTGGAAAAGTCTGGGAGTTTTGCGAGTCTTTAGTGTGTTGTCTGAATCAGAATTTCTGTGTAATTTGACTGATGCCTTCCTTGACTGTATATTCAGTAAAACTAAGCAGCTTGCTTAGAGACGAAATTCCCTTACATAGCTGATCTCCTGTTTAAACTACATATTTTTGTTTATTTCTAGAAAAAGTCAGAGATATTCTGATATCTTACAAGAATGAGCAGTTTCGGGTAAGTTTACTCTGATTATCAGCACTTTTGTTACTTCTCGTTTCCTGCTTGGGGCAATACATCTTCTGTGTTAGTTCCTTGTTCGGATATCACTACTAGTGTTGTCACACATGGCTTGCCAAAGGAGAGCTCTACAGAGAACAAGCAATTCGAGCTGTGATAGTTTCTAATATCAACACTTTGTTCAGGTTTATAAAGGAAATACGTACTTATTGGAGATCCCAAGTCTTCCATGTCACAGTGGATAGTGCTCAGTTTGTTTTCATTCATCCTAAAATCTCTGGAAATTTAGACCCGTCATTCAGAAGTCATTAGTCCGTATTTTCTATCATCCATACTATGTATTTGCAGTGACCCAGTGGCTGAGGTGCTGCAATTCATATTTGTGAATAATGTGGCCCAGAAATCTTTCTTTCCTCAGCTTCTCCTTCCTACTAATGGGTTAGTTCTCGAGATGTGGTAAGAGCTGGGTTACAGACCCTCTTAGCGGTCTTTGGATGTGACCTGTTGTTACTGGGGAGCTGTTCTCACTTTTATGTTGATTAATATCATTCAGGGCTTAAGGAGAAAGTGTGCTGACATTCCGGTGAAGTGTAAGACTTAAATCTGCAATGAGAGGTAGTCTCAGGAATTTTACTGAAAATGAACATCCAGTTTCCTTCATTGTCTTGGTTTCGGACTATGTAATATGATTTTCCTTTGTCCATCCTTCCTTTTCTGTATTTGTTACTGGCTTATTTTGTATGTTTTGCATTGATTATGTGTGGTGGGTGACCTCTTAACATACAGAACAGAGGGAAGTACTTCAAATTGATTAGGAAAATGCAACTTCAAAATTTAAACTGGTCACAGTTGAATGGAGGAAAGGAGCAGTGAGTCAATTGCTAAAAAGTAGTTGCAAACCTTTGTTTTAAAGTGAAATGCCTTATCCCATAGAAATTGAGCAAATAAAGGCTGATGAGTAAACTGTTAGATGCCTCAGTTTAATTGAATGCTGCACACAGTGCTTATGAAACCTGTCTGTTCACCCTGCAAGGCTGCCTTTCTTGTCAAATGATTGCAAGTGCTGCACTTCTAAGTCTGTCAACTGTAACACAATACTGTGGAATTGTGAAAAACAAATGCTCTGTAGATACATATGTTGTCAGTATAGCTTTTGATATGCAGTTTTTGCCACTCTGAGGTTCACTGAATAAGGGTGGGCAAAGGATTTGCCAAGACCTGTCTATGTCAAGGAGTGTTAACCCTTATGGCTGATACCTACAAGTGCTTAACTGAAGTTTATCTGTAATAAAAAAAGTAATACTATCTTTCTGTTCTAATAACTGTTTTCAGTAATTTTAAGAGCTGTAAGTTGGTCCTTTGTTGGCCTCTGGAACTCTGTTCTGTATAACAGTAGACCTCTAATTTAAAACTGATTACGGATCATAAAATCTTAGAAACTTAGAAATGGATTGAAAAAAAATGACATGGGCTTTTTCTTTTGCCCTTTTAGTGTTCAGATGATTTGGTGCATCCAAATAATTTCTTAACCACAACAGCAACTGAATGTTCCAAATATCGAATAAATACTACTTGAAGCTTTTCTAGGCCAATATTTAAAAAATCACCTTGCATTTGCACAGAAAGAGTGGCACAGTATCTTTGCTGGTTTCCCTGCATAAATGTATAGTGTGTGTCTGATCTTTTTCATGTAAGAAGGAGAATCACTTATACCTAAGTCATCTTTATAGCAGTGTAACTGTAGAGTCTCTGATTCAGATACTTCTCTAGCTATTTTATTAGATACTTTTTAAAATTTAAAGCATGTATGATTCTGTAGGGTGTAAACTAGGCTAAAATATAGTTCTGTCACAGGGGCTGCATACTTGAGTGTCTGATTGTTCGTATGAGTGGGCTAGAGGTTCTTCAGTCACTTTAGGTCATGTCTTTATACTTGATTTATCATCTAAAGTATCTTTTGCATTTAGTGGTAGCTTTGCATATATAGAAAAGCTAATCAAAATCCTGAAAATGACACCTTGGTTTTCCAGTCTCATTTTACATTTCATTCCTTTTTGGCAGGAAAAATAATTTCTTCTTTTCTCTCAGTAGTTATTCCCTTCCAGGAAAGAATCTGCTAGATACTTGTTGGTGATGTAATGGGGTTTATGCCGATATTTTGTAGAAGGTCTTGATGGTAGAACTGCCCCTTGGGTAGCTTGTGAGCATAAGTAGAAGGCATGTCTTACCTTGCTGAGCAGATTCAGACAAGTTATATATCAAATGAAGAAACCACTAACTTTCAGAGGACTACTGACCTTAGATATTCCCTCTTTTATTCTTAGTATAATCTAGCTTTTATTTTGGTCTACTGTGTGCATAATGTGATTGGCAAAACCTTGTCCTGAATAGTCGACCTAATCCCCATGTCACATGCTGAGTTAATGATTCAGAATGGGTCTGTCCTGGTTGGTGCTGAAGTCAGGGAGAGCAAGGTTTAGAACCAGAATGAAGATGCCAGGACTGTGACTCCTTGATACTCCTGTCTTTTTAATTCAGGCCTTTTCCAAGTGTGACATGGCTTATATTAATTTTTACTATAACTCTAGGAAGAGGAGCTTCTGTGAATTTTTTTGAGTGCTGTTGATGACATACATATGGCATGTGCATCTTCCCTTCAGAGCAGTGTCTTTATGTTTGCCATTGGGGCATATTTTCTGTTAATGCTTGAATTTTTCCTTCACTCAGGTTATGCAGACTATGCAGTCTGCTTCAAAGTCTCGAGAATTGTGGTCTGATTCCTCTTCAGAAATGGATTGGATTTTGGCTCAGATCAAAGACCTGATGCAGGAAAACAGGTACATCTCTAATAAATAAAGGTGAGGTGAAAGGTACAGTCCAGAACTCGGCCTGTAGCCCTGTTGCACTACCTTTTCACAGTGTTCTTCACCTGATAGTGGAGAAAGCAAGTAGTAGATTTCCTCAACATCTTGGAGGACTGGGTTGTTAATCTGTGTTAATGAGTAATGTTCCCTGTGCCAGCTGGTCTCCAAGGTGTTGTCCCAGACTTAGCTGTGCTGGCCCCAAGGCATGTCAGCATCTTCGATGTCTTCAAAAGCTTTCCCAACAACCTTGTTTAGACTTCGATTTCACAGTAACCTTTAGAATTCTTCAAAATTGCGGGGCAATACTTGGCATTTTCTATACTTTCTATCTTTCTATGAGTCGAGAGCCTCTAGGATACAGTGTGTTGAGACTTTATTATCACCATACAAATTTGCATGAAGATCTTGAACCACTTTGAGAATTCTAATCAGTATAACTGTAGAGAGGAGAAAGTATCATGTTATAGATAAGAGCTATAACTCCTGATGTTTCATATATAAATATATATGCCCTACCAGCTGCTGATTAGTTCAAGAGGTTATCAGTTGTCCAGAATAAAACCCTGGATTGCCCATCAGTTGCTGGGCATGGAATAATGAGCAGGAAGGCATGAAGATTCCGTAATGAGAAGCAGAACTTTCTACACATGGGGCTTCTGTATCACTTTAACTGTCTAAATAACTGGACAGTACAGGTAAAAGAAAGCCATTGTACCTGCCTGTGATTCTGATACTCACTCCCTAAGCATTCTCTGTCAGCTGCTGTCAGAACATGAAGGGACCACATGCAGCTACCTATATACCAATATATATGTGTAAAATATATATTTATTTATATATATTTTACCTATATATATTAGATATAATTAGATGTTTGAACCTGGCATCATCTACATGGTAGAGAGGAAACAGACTGCCACAGTACAACACAAGGGTTGTGAAAGGTTCAAATGAGAAAAAGAGAATTCTTCTTCTGTGAAATGTGTTTTTAGGAAATGTCAAGGCAATGTAATGCATTTGGAAACAGGTAAAAGATCAGAGACAGGCCCTTTCCTTTAGGAAACTGAAGTAGTGAGGATCTCAAGATAATAACGTATTTGGGGTCTTTCTAGTACTGCCTTTTTGGCATGCTCTCCTGTTAGTTTATGTCTGTGCAAAACTTAAGTTTTCGTAACAGAAGTATATAATCAAAACAAGTACTTAATTTGTAAATACTGTGGATTTGATTTGCTTGCCGTCCACGAATTCTGCAAATCATGCTTGTGGTATCCCACGAAAGTGTGTTAAATCACATTTTAACAGTTCTTTACCATCATCTTTGTGCGAACGACGTGTTACGTCGGCTCTTGCTGTTTGTCCCATGCAGCTGCACAAAGTATATTGAACCCAATTATGTGAGTGTCCAGAGGAGATGCTGCTTCCAAAATTAAAGCAGTTTAAAAACTTCATCATCTATTTGGGAAAGTCCTGGAACTAGATGGCACATCTCAGGGGCCTGGTTTCATTTCAAGCCTTCACTGTCAGTTTTCTGAGAGCTTTATTTGGAATTCCAGTCAGTCACTTAGGTAAGGGTATAAAACTAAACTGCCAGGTGTGGCCTAAAGAAGCTGCAAAGGATCCTTTGCAGTTAGCTCATTTTCCTTCAGGTCTAAAAGAATCTTCTGCCCTCTGCAGAATCCAAATTACAGGCTACATTGATAAATGACTGCAAAGGATACTCTGCTGCCTACTTTAGAGAACTGCCCAAGTGGACCTTGTGATGACCAGATGATCTTAAATGGTTCTCTGCTGAAGTTGCCATCTACCAGGAGATGTCCTTAATAGTTGGTCATGCATGTAGGAGTAATGGTAATGATACTGGAACAGTTTCCAGAGAGGAGAAGGATCGAAACTGGATTTTGTTTTTAGAAACAAATTACATTCTACCACTTGCCTTCTCATCTCCCACCACATCATCTACTTATGATGAAGTGATCTAGCATGTGTGTGTGTGTTGTTTCTATATGCTGAGCTCTTCAGCTGCTGTTTGATTTATAAAAATGCAACATTGTATCTAAATCATGTCTGGATGTTTAGAGTTGGAAGTCACTCCTGTTGGGGAAGACAAATTTTCTCATCTGTTATCAAAATATGCCATGTTTGACATGGGTGCTACCATTCCAAATCTTTGCCCAGGTGTAGAAACTCATGGATAGAATGTGAACAGAAGAATTCAAGAGAATCACACTGGATATTGGGGTAGTTGTGGAAATTTTACTTCTGTCCCTTTTGCTGTATCTTATTTTCAAGAGTTGGGGCCTCTGGTGGTCTAGTGGTTAGGGTGCAGGACTCTCACCACTGCGACCCGGGTTCGATTCCCGGCCCCCCGGGCAGATGGAGCTCGTCAGCCCTGTGTGGCAATCCATCTAAGAGAAGGTCACTCTAAACAAACCTA